TATTTTATGCGATTAATGAAATAATTTTAAAGTTGAGAAAGAAATGCTTTAAAATGAAACATAATTTTAAGCATTTATGTTTAACGGATTTCTGTAATATTGATGTAACATTTTTAACTCATATTTCGAGATGTATACGGGCTATGGGTGTTACAATTATTCACCATTGAAGAAACTACATTGAAAATCCTCAAGTTCTTAATCATGTATAGGCAATTTATGACAATTGAAAAGACCAACTTCATTGTGGTTACTTGTGACAAGTTTTAACAAAATTCTCAGTCGTTCAACTCTCATCTCTTGCGTCATTCAATATCACACAAGTTCTTAATCATGTAGGCAGTTTACGACAATTGAAAAGATCAATTTCATTGTGGTTACTTGTGACAAGTTTTACCAAAATTCTCAATCGTTCAACTCTCATCTATTGTATCATTCAATATCACACAATAGTTAAATGAAACTACATGGTATACTTTACCATGAAACTAATCGTTGACCAATCACTTTTGCTATCGACTTCTATATACTTCAATATGTACATGCCATAATCATCTCTGAATCTAATATCAAATAAAATAATTTATTAAACAAAATCCACAGACCAAAACATAATAACTTTTATTTTAAATTTAAATCACGTATGAATTTAGTTGCTTCGATAATTCAAGAAAATGGATTGGAAATTTTGCAACATATTCAAATAATCTACCCAATTGAGCATGACTCTCATACATAACTGGAGCTTTACTCAACTGTTATAATAAGTCAACAAAATTAAAAAAAAACTTATATTTGAAAACTACATGAATTCTATTAGTTCTCGTCAGGGCTGACCCTAGGTCGGGGCAGGTGGGGCGGTTGCTCAGGGCCCATAATATTCAGTCGGCTTAGCATATATATTTTTGGTCCATAAAATTTCAATCAATGCCTAATTTTCTCACTGAAAATTATATACATCAACCCATTTAATCAGGATATAGACTGCTTATATCTTTTATTTCATTTAAAATGATCAGATGATTTTCTTCAAGCATATAATCTGATAAATTTATTTGTAATATGGGAATCACCCATGTGATCCAATGGAAAAGCATTTAGCAGCAAATCACCATGAAAAAGAAAAGGTATAATGTCAAATAAGTCTCTAATGTTCGATTAAATAATCATTTTAATCCTTTTTTTGAATCATTTTAATTCAACATTTTTAAGATAAAAAACCTATGAGATTTGACTAAATAGTCACTTGATTTGTTTTTAAATATTTTGGTACCTACTGTTTCATTTTAGAAAGAAAATATGTATTTTAGAGCGTTGATAATTTGTTGACTAACGGTTTTCATCCATGGAGAGATTTTTTTACTCCAAAAATAAACTATTGGATTAAGAAATGCTTAAACATGATGTTTAATTTAAGAAATGCTTTTCCACGAGACAATATTTTTACTCTAAAATCAATGATTCTGCATTAGGAAATGCTAGAAGGCAATGTTTTTGTAAGTATTTGTATACTTAAATATAGTTTTGTCATTGTATTAAATTATTGTTTGTTTAATTTAATACAAAATTCTAATATAAATTTTATATTACATATTTTATTTTATTTTTGAATTAGGGGCTTATTTTTTATTTCGAATCGACCCAAAAAATAGTCAAGATTGGCCATGAGAGTTCACATATGGCCATGCGGGTTCATTTTCTGAAATGAAAGTGTTTTTCTAAGTTAAAGATTATTTTTTTCTCATAAGTTAGAGATTATTTTTTTCTCATAATAAATTAAGAGAAGCTTTTCTAAGCTGAAATTGTTGGAAAATTACTTGAGGTTAACAATGTCACAAGAAAGATTGAATGAGCTACCTATGTTATGTAATGAAAAAAATATTTTGAAAAATATTAATGTTGACGCTATGATTTTGTATCAAAAAATGCTCGAAGACAATGTTTTCTATAAATATTTGTGTGCTTTAATATTTTTTTTGACATTTTTGAGATGATAATTAATTACTATTTGTTTATTTTAATAAAAAATTAATATCAATTTTATACTATATACTTTTTATAATTTTTTAAAATTAAGTGCCCATTTCTTTTATTTCGCCCCGGGTCAAAAAATACCCAGAGCCGGCCCTGATTCTCGTAAATGAATAAAGAACTTACAATATTTTTTTACACTATTTTTACGCATTTCATTGAAGCCAAGAGAGTCCAAAATGTAATAATGTCCCTCTACAACATAAACAACTAATAAAAACCAATTATTGTCTACTTCATCATGTAAAGACATATATGCATGCAAAATCATGTGAGTTAAAAATCACTGTCAACTATATACAAGAAAAGAACAAATTATAAATATGCATAAAGTTCTCTATCTAACGGGTGTGAAATTTGAAAATGCTATTATTCTTCCCACATTTTGAGCATGTGTGACATATTCGGTAAAGATACTTTGAGACAAACATTAAATATAAAAATGTCATGAAATCGTAAACTAAAAATAATGTGCTCCAAAGTCCATAAATTATTTTTTACCTGAAATGACAGATGCAAATATAACTTATTTCGCGTAGGTGTTTCTCTCAAGTGCAAATCGTACAAATAGAGATCAATAAACTATTAAATATTTGAAAACAATACAAACAAATGAATTAATAACAAACAAAATAATATTGATTATATAAAATATTTAATAATTTAAACTATAATACCCAATTAAAAAACATTTTTCTGGAAAAATAATACGAGCATTGGCAATGTCCAAATTATTATTCTTGGCTATGTAAAGAGTGTTGGATGTATCATTCCAAGTAGCAACATTAGTACAAATTCTACATTCTTCAGGTTTTAAAAACTCCATATATTTGCTTGTACCAACACTCATCATACCAATTTCTTTGGAATTTTCTAATAACAAATCACCTGCCTCGTATTTATACTGCAAGAAAAACATAACTCTTAAAAATATTTTTATTACGTTAAAATATTATCAAACTTTAACATGAAATATAACCAATAAAGAATGATTTATACATTATTTGGTATTCACTTTAGATGTTCTAGCTCTTTTCAATGTCATATCTTTCGACTTCAAATCATCAGTAAAATCTAAACTTGCAGTCAAACATCTCACACTTTTTTCTGTTGAGACCCTTTCATCTTTGACAAAGCCTTAGATTGTTAGACATTTTTGAGAAACCGTCACTATCAATCTTGATGTTGTCTTTAGAGTTATCATTATGTTTCCTCGTGCCACTACGTTCTAATGAGGGAGAAGGATAATAACAATTAATAAAAATAGAAAAACTCGATTTTTTAATACCACTCTCGGTTTCTTCCTTCAATGATGCGAGACTTAATCCTTCTTCCATGTGTGATTTATTTTCTAAATTCTCATCTTTCAATGGAACGATGTGTAAATTAGTCTCTTCTTATTTATTATTTAAAGCATCATCCTTTAATGATAGACTATGTATACATTCTCATTTTACTAAATCACCATCTTGTATTGAACTTTTAACATTACTTGGTGTTAATATGCTCACTAATTTTTCAATTTGGCCATTTAATATTTTAAATTGTCCTTTTAATTTTTCGAATTGGTCATGCATTATAGCAAATTCCTTTTCAATTTTTTGCAACGTATGATTAAGTGTCTCAAACTTGTGATTACTCATATAAGAAGTTCTTATCTTTTCTTCATACAACTTTAGTTTTTTGCTATATGTATATAAAACAAATAAAAAAATAATCAAAAAAAATATACCGACAAAAAAAAATTCATCACTAGTATTAAAATTTCAGTTAATTATAACGAATGTACCTCGTTGTTTGTCTCCAAACTCATGTCGATATGGTGTTTGCACTACATCATTTTAACTTGTTTTGAAGGCCTTGAGTTTAGATCCATCATCTACATTAAAAGAGATAAAATATAAGCTTGTATACTCAACAGGAAAATGAACAAATCAAGCATACCGTACTAATACCCTATACTAGTGTATCAGTACACTTATTCGAAATAAAAAAATAGCGTGCTATTATGGTACCGGTACACTATAAGTATCGTTACAGGCATTCCCACGTATCGATACGCACGATCCAAGGTACTGACACGCCCTACTTGAATCAAATTGGGAAATCGGGATGGGATTGCAAAAATACAGTTCAAATGTAGGAATTAAGGTTCAGTAGTTCTAATTAATTGGGGTTATAAATTGGGAATTATGGTAATCAATTAGGGAATTAAAGTTATACAATTGGAATAATTACAAAATTAAGGTTAGGGTTATGATCAGGGTTTAGAAAATAGGGATTAGAGAAATATGATAAGAGGGTGCATTCCCAAATCGGCATCCACGACCACTACTAGTGAAGCGCCAACAGTCGGTGACGGCTTGGACGAAAGACCAAGTTGGAAACAAAATAAAATTAATGAAGTTTACCTTAACGGGTTGGTTACCCGAACGATAGTGAACGACGTCCACATCTAGAGGGATGAACGACAAAGATTCAATCGACGACGTAAGATAAAATGGACGGCGGCGTCGACGGTAATGAGAAATTCAAAGCTTTAAAACAAATTAGTTTAAAAAAAATTAGGTGTACTATTTGATCTATTTATAATGAAAATGAGATTATAAAAAATAATGTAATTAATATTGTATTTTAAATAAATTACAATTAGATTTTTAACTAAAATTCAATTATACGTTGAATACTTTATAATTTTAACGTTTTACAAATTAATTTATCGGTGCTCATCATTAATGGTGTTCATCACTTCTAGTCGAACTTGAAAGAATCATTCATATAATTTTTTTTCAAGGCCTTGTGTATAATTTTCTTCCCTTGTTTTGAAAGGATTCTGGCTTTGGAAAGTTCACCAACTTTGTTTGCTTCCACTTTAAGTTTTTCAAGCAGTAGGTTCGTCAGCTCGACATTTTTAAGCATACTTTATTTATCGTAACTAATAAACCAACCTCCTTTTTATCATTAATGTTGTTTACACGTTCCCATCATCAATGATTTCTTGTTTTTCATAATTACATTCAATTATTAATTCAACCCTTTCAACAACTCAAAGTAATTTGTTTCTGAATCTATTCTCTAGTTACTCCCACATGTGTTTGATGATAATACCAGCAGAGTAGAACCAAGCTTCTCCTGAGTTTTTTAAGTTCTGAATTCATTTTATTTTGAAGATCGTATCAATGGTTTTTTCAGTTTCGGGTTCGATGGTTTTTGTGTTTCTGTACTCTTCTTCTGAGTCTTGAAGTTCTCAATTCATTTGCATTAGCTTGATGATGGTCTCAATGGCGTTTTCAGTTTCGGGTCTCTTCTAGTTCGATTCATTCGACGAGTCTTAAAGCTATAGGTGCTCCACATTATGCTAAACAAGCAGTGGAAAATGAGGATACCAAAGATTTACTCATGGTTTTCAGGTTATTATCCGTGGGTGGTTGTTTTTGCTACAACTTTAATATTGTTTGGAGGCTTATCAAAATCGAAAAACAATGAAGATGAAGTTTTTTTGAAGGTTCCAAAGTTTCAGAAACCATTAAGGCTCCCAAATAAAGGGTATGTGAAGTATTTGAGCCGATTTTTTTATATGATATTATTGAGATAGTTTCACTAATTTCTATACACTATGGTTCGGATTAATTTTCCTTTTGCTTTGATCTAGGTATGGCTATCCACCTGTTCTTGCTTATTGGATCAGTGGCAGCAATGGAGACAGTAAGAAACTGCTGAGGTTGCTGAAAGCAATATATCATCCAAGAAACCAGTATTTGCTGCAACTTGATTCTGCTTCATCTGATTATGAAAGGGAAAATTTGATGTTTTTGATCGAATCCGAAACAGTGTTCCAAACATTCGGGAATGTTAATGTTGAAGGTAAAAGTTATGCAGTTAATCAGATGGGATCTTCAGCTCTTGCTGCTACACTTCATGCTGCTGCTTTGCTTCTCAAGATTAATTCAGACTGGGATTGGTTCATACCTTTAAGTGCCTCTTCTTATCCCCTAATGACTCAAGATGGTAACTTGTCCTAATTTTCGACTTTTCTATGTTAGTTAATTGGATGTAGAATATGAATATCTGTATCATATGAGGTTTAGGTTAGGATTTCCCACAAAATTATGTGATCGGTTATAAAGATGAACTTTGATTGAGAAATCCATAAAGTGAAATTTTATTGGATTCTAAACTTGCCTGACATTTTACCTAAAACGTTCACCAACAATGATGACTTTCTGAAAAGTTGTTTGAATATGTTCAACTGGTGCTCTCATTTCCATTATTGTAGTAAAGTCTTTATACAAACATATATATTATTATTTAAATTCAGATGATGGCATGAACCAATTTCCTTCCGTGTAAAGGAATAGTTATTATTTTTTGAGGATCCGGTTTAAATACTATAAATACCAGAGGTGCCAGATACTACCTTGTACTTACCATATATTAATAAAAAAATCGGATTAAAAATACATCTTTTATTACATTTATTAAAAGTTGGTACTGATAATTTTGCTTTGGATATGCAGATCTCCTCCATGCTTTCACTTTCCTTCCAAGGGACCTCAACTTCATCGACTATACTAGCAATCCGGGCTGGAAACAGTGAGCACAAACCACCATTGTGTTTTAAATTATGCCTATTCAATCCTGGGATTATCTTTTCAATTTTGGTTTTGATTAAGGCTTATCTTTTTTCATATTCTAGTTAGTCCAACTCCAACTTTTGTTTGATAAACTAAGCCTTCAATTTCATTTCTTTTGTGCAGGAGGGAAGAGATGAACCGAATTGTTGTAGACCCTGATTTATATCATCGGAGCAATACTGCAATTCACTATGATGTTGAAACTCGAAAACCAGATGCCTTCAAGATATTTGGAGGTCAGTTTTAGAACTTCAAATTACTGTGAATTTACATGTATTGGACATAAATATTTTAAGAAAAACCAAGCCCGCCAACTTATCCAAACACAAATTCAATGCAGGTTCTCCATGGGTGATTAATTCAAGATATTTCATGGAGTTCTGCGTCCATGGATGGGATAACGTTCCAAGAAAACTATTAATGTATTTCACCAATGTAGCTTACCCTCTCGAAACCTATTTCCACACAGTAGTTTGCGCTTCAGCCGAGTTCCAAAACAAAACAATGGACAATGATTTAAGGTACATTATTTCAAGAAGCTCTAAACTTGAGACCTTAAACACTTTAACGATAGCGGCTGGTGAAGCAGTTTTCGCCCAGCCAATTCAAGAAGATGATCCACTTGTAAACATGATCGATGAAGACGTTTTGCATAGGCTACCGGATAAAATAGTACCCGGAAGCTGGTCTTCCTGTCAAGGTATTAATTTGTGACTAATTGTACTGGTAGATTGAACCGGCAGCTGATGGCATGTTTAATGTGGCAGGCGTAGCCGATGATAGCATGAAAGGTGAGGAGTTATGTTATAGGGAGGCAGACATTGATAGGGTGAAGCCTGGTCCCAAAGGTATCAAACTTGCTGCTCACTTAACTAAGCTCCACGCACAAAGCAAACGCAATCCTAGCCCCTGCCACCACCCATGATGTAATTCTTTGTATTCATCCAATATTCAAGTATTTTTTTAATTAATCACTTGCATTCAATCTATTGACCGACTAATACAGATCGGATAGTGCAGAAGCAAGAGTGACCCTCCCAACCCGTTTGCTCTATTCATAAACGTCAGGATTCGAACCTCTACCCGTGCTTAAGGAACTTAGTGCCTCAACCCAGTAGACCAATTGATTATTTGTAATATTCAAGAGTTGTAATTAGTTTATGAAAACATTTTAATATGATTACAAGTAATCAAATACTATATGAATATAAACTAACACAGTGAGATAATTTCCAACATAAGCACCCCAGCTTACATCTTTTAATATTGGATACATGCGCTTGACTTCAAGATATAACTTGATAACTATACTTTTTTATTTAATTAATTATCTAAACTTGACTTTAAGATTTAATTTGATGCTTAATATTTTTTGGTTCAATTCTGTACCTAACTTCACTTGTTGGTTAAAATTGATTCTTCAACTTTATTTTTTTGGTACAATTTGATACTTACAGTGAATAATTTATTTGGATCAAGAATCCAAATTTATATAATGATTTGAACTTAAAATTCTAAATTTATATATTTATTATCAACATGGGTTGTTTCAAGTGGTAAGCAGCTTGATATCGCTTAAGTAAGGTCTCGAGTTCTAATCCTTGTATATGCAGAAAATCCTTGCTAAGAGACTTACCCGCCAAAGTCAGGTGTACGACGGGTTTGGTCCGAATTAGTCAGGGTGAAGCCTTGGAACCGAGAGGACAAAAAAAAATTAAGTTTATAAATCTAATCAAACAAAAAAATGTTTAGATATCAAAATCAACATTAAAAGAAAACCTAATTGGACCCAAAAAAAATTTAAATGCCAAATTATACTTTGAAACTTAATTCAAATACAAAATAGAAATTTACCTTTCATATTTTAAAATGGTTACTTATTCTAGTTTTATGCGAGCACCGAAACAAGATAAGCCTTCGGACTGAGTTGAGCTTATTGGACCGAAAGTAACCCAATCTGAGCTGCCAGCGGCCCTCGGCTCCCGGCCCGAAAGCTTGTTTAGCGGCTTTTTACCAAGGCTAAGCCGAGGCCGAAGAGTGTTCAGTTCGGCATTGGTCAGCTATATTTCAATGGAGAAACGGCCACCGCCGGAAACTATACAAATTCGACTGCTCTGCCCATCAGCAAAAACCGGCGCCCTAATAGGCAAAGGCGGTTCTGTCATTCGACAGCTCCAGTCTCTAACTTCCACCAAAATTCGCATCCTCGACGATCCTTTCGAGGAACGTATCATCCAAATTGTCGCCGATAGCAAACCTCTGGTTTCTAATAATGCCGATAACCCAAACGTATCATCCAATGCGGAGACGAAGCAAGATTTAATCGAAGATGGATGCAATTCTGCGTCGGGAGGGGGAGGAGGAAGAGATGTTGGTGGTGGGGAAGAGGAAACTACTTCGTCTTGGTCGCCGTTGCAGAAGGCGGTGGTTAGGGTTTTCGAGAGAATAGTGAAAGGGGACGCTGCTGATGACAAAGAAACAGAAAAAGAAAGCGAAAATCTGGTCGCTTGTTGCAGGATGCTATTGGCGTATAATCAGGCTGCGTGTTTATTGGGGAGAGAGAGTTGGTTCTTAGAGAAGACTGGGCATGAAAATGGGACTCAAATTAGGGTTTTGACTAGAGACCAGATTCTACCATGTGCTGCTCCAGGGGATGAGCTGCTTCAGGTATCATCTTTACTCTGTACTGTTCAAGAAATTTCTATTTTCTGATCATTACTCTATCTAGTTATTACATTTTGGTGTTGCTGTTGTGGTGTCAAAATATCAGCTGAGAACAGTCTCACTGCAACAGCAAAATCGAGGTCCTATTCTCTTTTGCCTACGTTACTCGGACTTGTGTGTGAGTGTTGGATACGATTATGATTTATGAATCAGACATGAGTATGCTCAGTTTTTTCCCCAAGTTTCTCCATGTTTTATGAACCATTGGAAGGTGACGTCCCGTATCCATGTTGAAATATATTGACAAACACATTTTTGTATGTTATGGAATTTAAGATATACTGAAGTTGGCATCGGACATTTAGATGGGTACCTTCAAAGATCAATTTGACGAAGTCCTGCTGTTACACAGCGGCCCATTTGTATGGGATAGTTGATGTTAAAGAGATGGGGAAGCTTGAGAATAAATGGGGCTCCTAGTCCTGGTGTGACACATCAGCCTAGTTAGATGGGTTAATTGATGTTAAAGAGATGGGGAAGTTTGAGAACAAATAGGGTTCCTTCTGGGATTAGGAGTGAAATAGAGGAATATATCAGGTACTTGCACATGGTTGGAAAATTACAATGAACTTAAATGGTCATTCTGCCTTGTGCCTGGTTAGGGTTTGGTTTATGACTGTTGGGATATAAATGGAATGATATGAGATTGGTTTTTTAATTGAACTGATGTGGGATAAAGAAAAAGAGAGACCGAGTGATGTAGGCTTTCCTTATGCATCACATTGAAAGCTAAAAGCTTCACACTTAAGGTTAGGGTTGCTTCATACAATCCGAAAGAATAGCGACCTTCACATAAATTCTTTCTCTTTCTCTCTAGGTGAATCACATAAACTTATATTAGAGTTCAAAAAAAATGCTACATTTGTATTCTTGTAAAGGCTTGCAATGTAAAATAGGAAACATCAATATTGTGTTAAAGTAACTGCTAAACTTTAAACCATTTTTTCTCTCATTGAGGGCATGAGTGTGTCTTGTATATCCAAATTTCACAGTTACACTTTAACAACATTTTCTAATTTTTAATAACACTTAATCACTTTGTATTTTTCTCCTGTTTATATTCTTTACGACTTCAATCTTGTGGACCTTTTTTGCAGATTACAGGCAACTTTTCGGCTGTAAAGAAAGCACTTTTTTCTATTTCAAGTTTTCTTCAAGAAAATTGTACACATTCTCAGCTGGATCAATTTACTCCATGGGGTTATACATCCGGTCGTCATGCTGCAGACTACAATTCAAGGAGTTACCCTTCTAATCCAGAGCATGAGAATGCTGTCCACAACAGAGCAGGATTTGAAGAGGAAGTTGTATTTAAATTGTTATGCCAAGCTGATAAGGTTGGTAGTTTGATAGGAAAAGGTGGCTCTGTGGTACGGGCTTTGCAGTGTGAAACTGGTGCAGGGATAAAGATTGCTGATACTTCTCATGATTCAGAAGAGCGGATTGTAGTTATATCTGCACGAGAGGCATGGGAGCTTAACTGTCTTTTTAGTTATTCTGCTTTATTATAATCTGGACAACTGGAATCTTCTTACTTATTGCTAATTGAAAACCTTTACGCATTTGGTTGGTTGTCCCTAAAATCTGGTGCATTTTGCTTGATTTGTAGATATTAATTACATATATTTAAAATCATTGCACATTGTTGAGTGCTACCAAGGATATTTGGTGGTAGTGTGTTCTTCTTGTACTTGGTTCTTATGCAATAAATTTTCTAAGGCACTCTTTTCCTTCTTTCAATGTTCGTTAAGTCTTTGTGCTTGATGGATATGAAGGGGGGTTTTAATGAGGCCTTCCCTTTTATCAAAAAAAAAAAAAAAATCGATGACCTTGTCTTAAAGATAATAGGAAGTTTTACATGAATCACCAACTTTGTAGGTACTTTATTTCTGCTGAATTCTTCTCACCATAACAGGGTAGTCTTATCATTTACTTCGTTGGACAAATCAATTGTTGCTCTGTTAGTATTTAACTTACTTTTCAGTAGTCTTTGACCTTATGTTATCTTGTTAAGCTGATTATTATCATGTGGGATGTGGGATCAGGATTCAGGTCACATGATTTCAGTTTAAGGGCACCGACTGTTTCATTTTTCCGAGCCTTGTAATGTATTACACTGGCTTATGCTTCGATCATGGCCTATCATTGGTTTTGGATCCTAACACCTGAAGAAAATATGATGCCTTCCTGTTATGCTACTTTCTCAATAGAAGTGTTTGTCAGCATATCAGTCTTAAATGAATTTCTTTGGATTCTATTTTGGCAAAGCTCATTATGTGTTTGCCTGCCGCAGCATATAGAGCAAAGATTCTCTTCGGCCCAAGACGCTGTTGTTCGAGTGCAATCTAGAATTGCTGAGATTGGATTTGAACCTGGTGCTGCAATTGTTGCTCGTCTTCTTGTACCTTCACAACATATTGGTTATTTGCTGGGTAAAGGAGGTCATATTGTAAATGAAATGAGAAGAGCTACTGGTGCTAATATAAGGGTATCTTCAGAAGAACAACTTTCAAAGAGTGTTGAATCCCAAAATGAGGAAGTTGTACAGGTAATTGATTGTCATAGACATTAATTTCTGGTTAGATTAGCTTGTTTATTAACAGATCTATTGTTTAGTCATCAATTTTTTTTATGATAAGATTTGTTAGCATTTTAAAAGGATAATGGATTGGAACTTGAAAATTCCAAGCTAATTTTTGAAGTGCTGCCTTTTTCATTTGAATATTTAGGAGGCATTTATGAGGTATTTTAGGTTTGGTTTATTTTGGCAGGTCAGTGGTAGTTTACAATCAGTTCAGGATGCATTGTTTCATATCACAGGCAGGCTTCGGGAGTCCATATTCCCAATGAAACCTCCTTTTCCCGGTGTTAATCCTCCTCTCTACTTACCTCCTTTCCCTGAAATGCCACCTCCGTTATTCAGGCCAAGACATAACCATGCCTCTCCATGTCCCTATCCTTCCCACTGTGGACCTTTTCATGGCATGGATGCTTCTGCTGGTCCTCCCCAACCACTTGAACACCAACCACCATTTACACATGGTATGGACCACTTGGGTCCCTCTAACTTAGACCGCGCTCCGTATCCCTATGGTGGTGACATACATGGGCATGGACCCATGTTTTACAGGCCATCTTCTCCAGGATCGTGGACTCCTCATGTTGGTGCCTTCGCTTTTGATGTATTATTATGGTCAAGCTTTTAAAAATAATATACTTGATGTTAATATGACATATTTTCCCCTTTGTTAATATCTATTTGACAATAATGTCTATTATCGTTTCCTTCTTTGAATTGTATCAGGCTGCTATGCCTAGGGGAGTCTATGATGCTGGTCCTGGCTTTGTTGCTAGAAATGGACGTCTAGGAAGGTGATGCTTATTTTCCTTGGATTATCATTCTATCTTTGACGCTTTGTCAAATCTGGCATTGCATACCTTGACTGTCATATAATTCCGGTATTTGATTTGGGATATAGGAGGGGAAGGGAGAAGACAAATAATCCGTCCTCTGGTATATGTCAAACATGACTTGTAATTTGCTGTTTTCTAAGCATTTGGGTTCTCAATTTTGCGAGAAAAGTTTCTGTAGATTCAAAATTTGAGATGGTTAAAATGTTTTAACCATTCAACATTGATCTGGTGTTTTCCTTGATGTGTATACCTAATGCGCATGTTCTTTGGGCAGTGGGAATCAAGCACCCATTTTGACCAACACAAAGGTTGAGATAGTGATTCCTCAAATATACTTATGCCATGTTTATGGGGAGAGTAATAGTAACCTGGGCCACATCAGGCAGGTGAGTAATAATTTGTTGATCCATGTTACCCCAAGATTTTATTTTTCTTGAAGCATCCATGTTTGATGTATATTTGGACATAAGTAGGAGGATATGATCATTCAACGACCGTCCAACTGAAATCTTTGAAAATTTGGACGTAATGGTGTCTGTGTTTGACACTTACACTGAAATATGAGCAAACATAGCTATGGATAGGAATAGATATAATTCTTATTTTTCACCTCAGTTTTTTTCTAACAATGTCTTTAGATTTCTGGAGCAAATGTGGCTATTCATGACCCAAAGCCAGGAGGTGCTGAGGGTTTAGTTGTTGTCTCCGGAACATGGGAACAGTTACGTACTGCACAAAGCCTCATTCAAGCCTTTATCCTTTGTGGACAAACTGCAGCTTGACTATCTGTTTCATATGTTCTTCTGGCAGGTGAGTAATAATAATTCGACAGATTGCATGCAATGGTCAAATTATCACGTAATGCTGGTTTTTGTTACCATTGCCTTCAGATTTTCTGGAGCAAAATTGATTATCCATGATCCAATGCCAAGGGCTACTGAGGGTTTAGTTGTTGTGATCCGAATCATCGGATCGGTTGTGGGCTTGGTGATCTATTCTCATATGCATGTTGTAAATTACATCTTAAATATCATATTTGGGTTTTCGTGTAGGTTCTCTGCTAGAGGCTTTGGTAATAGGAGAATTTCCTCCTTCGCTTGTGGGGTTAAAATTAGGTTTGACAAAATGATGAAAGTTTAAATGCGGATTTTTTTATGATAGTCTAGAACCCTCATTTTAAGCACTGTACGTTTTAGCTGAAAAATGAAGTGTGATGCTCAAATCAGATGGGACAAACGGTAGAGTTGAGTTATTTTTGTATATTTTAATAATCTGTATAAAGTTTGGTTTGTTAATAAATTTTGAGACATTTATTTGATGTCATATGGGGCTTTGTATCATGTTTGATGGGGCAGTTTAAATTTTGTAATTGCTTTGTGTAGCTTCAACATCTCATCCATCCGGAATGAAGTGCAAAGCTCAAGTTCGGTTGAACCTATTATGTCAAACAGATTTCAACCTATTCCAGATCGAACCATTGATTTAATAAATTGGTGTGGAATAGATTGAAGTTCAAATATTAATTTGAGATATGTAGTTCAGGTACCAAGTATATCTTTAACTCAAATTCATTTGGTAATTTTTAGTTACATACATGTATTAATGTATACTGTTCTTTTTGGTTTCGCTTGGTAAAAACAAAAATAAAATTGAAAATTATTAAATTATAGAAGAATGAAAAACTATATATATATTTTAAATTGGTCTCAAAAGTATAACGACTACTTTTAACAATTTAAACATTTAATCTTATTTAATTTTATAATTTAGATTAATGTTGTTTAAGAGATCGGGTGAATACTGGATATTTCAAGTTACAAAAATTAACCTCTACCGTATAAAATTTAGGGTTAAGTACACAAATAGTCTCCTAATTATAGGATATTATTTTATTGAGTTTCTTGATTATTAATAGTTACAAAATAGTTTTTCGACTGTAGGGTGTTATTTTATTGAGTTCATCGACTATTAAAAGTTAGAAAATGGTCAACCGACTATTCATATGTTTCAAACTCTTCATTTTATGTTAAAAAATGAAGACAATCTGAGCTACATATTAACTTATTGGCTGGATATGATACAATTGGATCCAAAATCTCAAACGACTATCACATCTAAATCGACATGTTAACGTCTACCTCATATGAACTTCATTTTTTTAAAAATGGCAGAATTTGAAATATATGAACAGTTGAGTGATCATTTTGTAGCTTTTAATAGTCAAATGGCTCGACAAAGTAATCCCTATAGTTGAGGGATCATTTTATAAACTTTTAATATTTGAGGGCTCAATAATAATATCCTATTGTTAGAGGACCATTTGTGTACTTCACCCTAAAATTTAAGAGTGAAGAAAATCGAGTTAAATGAATTAAATTAACTGAATTGAATTAATTTGTTTTAATTGACTTTTAACATTTTAATTCAATTTTAAAAAGTTGTTTAACATTATTAAATCAGATTGATTTTAGTTTTAAAATTTAAATTTAAATTAAGGGTAAAGTATAGTAATGGTCACTGAACATTTCTGAAGCTTGCATTTAGGTCCCCCAACTTTAAAACTTGCAATACAGTCCCCCAACATTTATTCTGTTTGCAATATGGTCCCCAACTTAAACCACCGTTAGAAATTAGGGTAAATTATATAAAAGGTTATTGAACTTTTCAGACACTTGAATTTAGGTCCCCCAACTTTTAAAACTTGCAAAATAGTCCTCAATTTCATTCTAAACCCCAATTTTCAAAGTAATTCAATTTCATATATTTTTGAAAGCAATAAATGATGGGAAAAATATTATATTTGTTTACAATAAAAAATATTATATTTGATAAATTGTTTGATAGATTTAATATATTTTTTAAATATTAGTTGATACAATATTTTAAAACAATAAATTTAAGATTTATATATTTTTAAACTAAATTTAATAATTATATTTTTCATATTTATAATTCATGATTATATATATAATCTTAAGTTGAGTATTTCTAATATAATTAATAATTTTAATTTCTTATTAAAAATAAAATATTCAAAAAATATAAATGATTCATACATTAATATATGAATATATTTTTTATTTATACATCTAAATATAAATATACATTTATATATATTTTTATTCGTATATTGAAATATTTTGATTAAAATAAACATATTTTAAATATTAGTTTATACAAGAAAAATATATCAAAATATAAATGATTCATACATTTAAATATAAATTGAATCATTTATATTTTCTATACATCTATATTTAATAAGAAAATAAAATTATTGGGGGACTGTTTTGCAAGTTTTAAAAGTTGGGGACCTAAATTCAAGTGCCTGAAAAGTTCAATGACCGTTTATATAATTTACCCTAATTTTTTAACAGTGATTTAAGTTGAGAGACCATATTGCAAACGGAATAAATGTTGTGAGACTGTATTACAAATTTTAAAAATTAAAGGACCTAAATACAAACTTCAAAAATATTGAGGAACTGTATTACAAATTTTAAAAGTTTGGGACCAAATCTATCGATTACTTACACCTGTTACGAAGAGACAAAAAACATACTCAAACCTCTCGAGAATTCTACAAAAGGGTCAGGATGGGCATTTCGTCATTTCGCTTGTTTGTTTACTTGTTTTGAGTTTTTTAATTCTAATTTTCAAGGGGAAAATATACTTGTCGGAGAGAAAGGAGTGAAAAATGACAACGGCATCGTTTAGCGGTTCGAACACGGCGGCAGTGGCGGCAGCCGTTGCAGTTAAGACGATTTTAATCACCGGAGTGAGCAGAGGGCTTGGCAGAGCCTTAGCTCTCGAGCTTTCCAAGAGAGGCCACTACGTAATCGGGTGTTCCCGCTCCCAAGACAAACTCAACTCTCTCCAATCGGAGCTCTCCTCGCCTGACCGTCACCTCCTCCTCAATGTTGATGTGGTCATTCCCTATTCGCGGATGCATTTCCTTCATTTCTCAGGCAGTTCTCAGATTTTCGTTAACGATATGATTTCGTGCACTTTTTGAATTTACAGAGGTCAGATAATAGCGTTATTGAGCTGGCTCGAGTTTTGGTGGAAAAGAAGTTTGTTCCTGACATAATCGGTAATCAGTGCTATTTGCTTCAATCTTTTTGGGGTTCTATTTTTATATTTTAATTCTTAATTTTCCTCCAAGAATGAAATTGTTAGTTTTGGTTTGAAATGTGAACTTCTTTTAGCTGCTTTTGTAACAGTTCCAATTAAATTTATTGTTTCGTCGTTAACGATATGATTTCGTGCACTTTTTGAATTTACTGAGTAGTCAAGATTTGTTCAGTCATTGCCTTCAACTGTAATTAATTTGAGTTAATCAATTTTCTTTTGTTACTACTGAAGCTGTGGTTTTGAATAGTCCCGTCAAACTGAGCCCAAACAAGCAGAAGCTCAGTCTCCACTCGGAATTCGAAGCTTGAAGCTCGACTCTAGCTCAGTGGGATTGCACTTTTAGAGCTGTTTGATTGAGCTTGCTCAATTAAGCCCATTTATAAGCTAGATTCTCATGTTGGTCTCTGTAAGCTGTATTATTTGTGCCCGAACTCAAGTTGAAGTGTGAATTGAAAATTTTCAGTACTAACTAAAAGCAAAAAAATATATAATTAAAAAGTTTGATTAGGTTCATGAGTTATTCAATCAAGCATTAGGATATTCAAATTTGGCTCACACAAGCTCGTGTAAGTGATGACCGAGCTGAACTCCATAGCTTGCTACCAAGGGTATTTTGTTTACATCCGTAGTTTTAAATTCATGTGAAATAGAATCAAATGTAGTTTTTGTTTTTAAATCATTCCCTCTTTAGTCACATTGATGTTTGAATAACAAGAACAAAACTAAAAACTGAACAATTTTCTTAATTAGCTTTGTGGCTGTATCTTTATCTGGAATTATAATGCATATTAATCTATAGCTTTAGGGCACTTTTCAAGCTAAGCGTAAACTCCTATACCTTTGCCTCTTTTGGTCTTTACTAACATTAAGGTATTGGCAGTAAACAACGCAGGTACAATCAATAAAAACAACAGAATTTGGGAGGTTCCTGTAGAAGAGTTTGATACCGTCATTGATACAAATGTCAAAGGGATTGCAAATGTGTTACGCCACTTTATCCCGTTGATGCTTCCCAAAAGTCGAGGGATTATAGTTAATATGTCTTCTGGATGGGGACGATCTGGTGCTGCTTTGGTAAATTCAAGTTTTCCATCTTCTACACAATTCTGTCCATCTTGAATCATTCCTTTTTAAATGCAATGTTTAATACAATAAATCATCCAATACATAACTGAGTGAAATTTTGTTGTTTAATGGAATGAAGGAACCATTGTCATAAACAACAGAAATAGATTTATAGGCAATTGAAACTTTTCGTTTAGAAGTTTTAGAAGGAAGCATATAAAATTCTAGCTTCAGGGGATATTTTCTCAATTCATGTTATGACTTGCGCACTTGTTAATTCTTTGTGGCCATTGCATGTTATGGCTGCCAACTTGGGGAATAGGGATTGATATGGATGGCGTGGGTTCGAATATTTGTAGATATCCAATCTGCTTATTGTGAATTCAGATATTGTGGATTTAAATATTATAATTTCTCTCTGTAGGGAACTCAAAGCACAATTGGATATTAACCCTCGGTATACATTATCTGAATCTGCATTACTTACGTATAATGGATTTGGATATCCAACTGCGGCATCAGAATTTTGTTCAGATATTCAAATTTTCTATTCAGATAATTTAGTGGATTTGGATGTTTCAGATAATAATATAATTGGGATTTTGATTTTAAAGTAGTTATGCATTATATGATACAGAAATATAGATACTCGATCCATTACACTTCTTAGTGGAGAACAAGAGGAGAGGGAAGGAAAAGGCATGTTGTGACCATATTTCATTCTTTTAAGATTTATTTTATTATCGAAATTAAGAAACTTCTTCCAGAAGCAGTGAGTGAAATTTGGGATATCCTTGTATCTCAACAGGTTGCACCATATTGTGCCTCAAAGTGGGCTGTTGAGGGTTTAAGCAGAGCAGTGGCTAAGGAGATGCCCGATGGGTTTGCTGTTGTAGCACTTAGTCCAGGTGTGATTAATACAGAGATGCTTCAATCTTGCTTTGGAAGTTCAGCCTCGGTATATCAGACACCTGAAGCATGGTATGTTAATTTTTCATTAGGTTCTAGTCAGAGTTCATATAGTTTATGTAGTTCTGTATTTATGCCGTGTATATTCTGGATCAATTTGAAAGGATGATATTCAGCCTCGGTATATCAGACACCTGAAGCATGGTATGTTAATTTTTCATTAGGTTCTAGTCAGAGTTCATATAGTTTATGTAGTTCTGTATTTATGCCGTGTATATTCTGGATCAATTTGAAAGGATGATACTTGCATAACTTGCTCTTTGTGTCAAATGCGTCAACAATTTGTAAATTCAGATCGTTTTTAATTGTTGGGGAAAACTAGTCTTTTAATTAAACTCGTTGAAAGACAAGCTCCTCAAATATTGCCATCATAAACATTTCAGAATATGCTAATTTCATCTCTGTTTCTTTTTTGGTGCCCAATTTGCTTCAGATTAAATACATTTTGGCACTTGTAAGAGTTAGGTGTATAATGGCCTTAATTCTCAATGAAATATTATTTTCTTTTGTATGTATTTCATAAAAATAGAATTTTGTTTATATCGTAGCCTTGTGAGTAAAATCTAATATTATTATGTAATTTTGAGTAGACTGTTAGCGATGCATTGCAAAGTGCTTGAATTAGCTTTTTTTTTTGCCCTTTAACTTGGTGGTTCATATTATTTTCTACTATTTTCTACGTTATGAGAGATTGAATTGTTTGTATCCGGCAGGTCATTGAAG